GTGCTTTTCACTCACCTCATAGTTCTAGGCGACCTGTGACAATGAGACTGTCACAGGTCGGCTCAGTAGATCGGGAGGTGAGGGAACACATACCGGCGTTCCCTCACTTCTCGATCCTGTCACAGCTCTCTGCCATGACAGGGGAGGGGCTGGATTCCACCCGCTCCGCCAGCGCTGACTGACGGAACGGACGGGGGAGGGGGCGGGTACAGCTGGCTCTGTCTCTAGATAGGCAGAGCCAGCTGTCACTCACGCAGCTGGGTGGATCCAGACATAATTGTCGGGATCCGCTTCAGCGTCTCAGTATACTGCGAGCTGGAGCTCCCTATATACTGAGCCTAGGGTGACGGGAGGACGCTAGTTTGTGTCCTCCCGTTACCCTTAGGAGAACTATGGGGAAAAGCCCCGACCCCATAGTTCTCCTTTAAATACAAATTTAGAAAAAAAATAAAACATACAAAAGCAAAGTTCATTCCTAACAAAGATTGACTTTAATGGTCATATGTGTAGACATAACATCAAAATATATTTATATATGTACATTTCTAGAACATTAAAAAATACCTGCAAACACGTTTGAAGACACAACGGTTTCAACACCAGTAATAAAAATGCAAGTTTAAGAACAAAAAACTAAAAACACAAACCACACACAAATTAGACAATTCAGTCACTGTAAATGGGCAAGGGCACGCCATTACCTTCAAGACTAAGCATACGCAGCCGACACAGCATGCCAGACTATGACTTGTAGTCTGCCAACCAGTAAATAGCTGATCTATACCCCTGCATACTTCTCAGTGAAAACTGGATTTATTAATCCAGCAAATTTCTGCCCCAAACATGACCATATGTAGAGAGACCGTGCCCACCTTTGTTAAGCCAAAAGATCATGGCTGGTCAATATTGGGTCAGTTGGGAGGTATATTGTAGGTTAACCTTGCTTATTTTAAACCATAAAATGACACAAGAAGTATCCTTCTTTTGCACACGTGGGTCAGTAGCATTTTTCTAGGGATTGATATTCTGGTTAATGAGATCAAATCCCAGCCCTTGTACCTGGGGAGAGTTCTAAGTATTGGTCTAGTGGCTCCATTTTGCCACATATCAACAGGAACTTTAACTGGGTTTGGAGTTCAATGGGGTTTTGGTTGGTCCAAGACAAGGTGGTAGTTGGGTTAACATGAACACTTCTGCTGTACAGGGGGAGTGGAGTCAGTAAAGCGCATGTTTTTGCCTCCACTGGCCGCCGAATGCTCGTTGTCGAGACTCTCCGACATCTTGTCACAGATGATATCAACGAGGCGTTCAAAAACCTGCTTCACCTGAATATTCTCCTTGGCACTGGCTTCAAAGAATTCAAAACCTGTGTGGATAAAATCATAGAATTAAAGAAGACATTAAAGAAACGAAAGTATATATTTATTAGGACTATTTAAAGTTTAATTATGTGCAAATTAAAAAGATACATATATGTTGCAATCTGTGAATAGCATTATCACAGCAGGTTTTCTGATTTTTTGTTGTTTTATTAGCCCTTGTAACTGTTTTCTAACCCGACGATCCTGCCAGTAGATCTTTTTTTCCTCTTCCTGTAACAGCTCGAGTTGTCAATGAAAAGTCAGTTACAGCTGGAACAAAACCATAACACTGGCGGAAGTGCTTGCAATGGCCAGCTTTTAAAGAAGTATTGGGAGGGTGTACACTTCCCACTACTTTGAGCTGGTTTGTGATTATAACCTGCATTGCATTAATATGTTCTATGTATGTGCAGTTTTCCTCCACGCTCCCTGGTTTCCACCCACAAACCAAAACTTACTAATAAGCTAATTGCCTTCCTTCCAAATTGGCCCTAGTAATTGTAGTAGTGAGGTTACACTGTAAACTCCTTCAGTGCACACAAGCTGATGTGAATAGTTCTATGTGCTCTGTAAAATACTGTGCACTATGTCAAGAGATTAATACTTGCTGTTGTTCTGATGGGGATAAATATAAAAAAATCTTCTATTGCCCAAAACCCTAGGCACAATAAACTTTCTAAGGTTAAAGCAGTAAAATATTTATTTTCCTTAAAAGCAACCCCCTGTCATGCTGGCGTTCTCCTATATAACATGTGTCAAACACAAGGCCCAAGGGCTGAATCCGGCCCACCATGCCATTTCATGTGGCCCTCCCCTGGTCTCTGCCCCTTCCTTGTCTCTGATACCAAGTGCTGATAGCGATGTTCAGAATTTTTAAACTGTAAACAGGCGCCGGGCTTCACAGGAAGGATGCTGAGGTCCCCAGCAAGGTCCCGGCAGCCTTTCTGTGAATTATGACGCCTGTTTACAGCACCAAATCTCCTCCTTCCTGTTGATCCACGCTGCCCGCACCCACCAAGACCGACCGGGACCCCAGGTGAGACCACATAGCCCAGCATAGACCCAACAGAGCCACCCAAGAGTCCGCACAGCCCACCACAGAACCTGCACAGCTCACCTGAAAATCTGCACAGTCCACCTGAGAGTCCACACAGCCCACCATAGAACCTGCAGAGCCACCTGAGAGTCTGCACAGCCCACGATAGACCCCACATAGCCCATTTGAGAATCTGCACAGCCCACCATAAACCCCACATAGCCCATTTGAGAATCCGCACAGCCACTGGAGTCTGAACTATTACACTAATTACTGCCCCTTCCTTGGCTCTGATACCAAGTGCTGATAGCGATGTTCAGAATTTTTAAACTGTAAACAGGCGCCGGGCTTCACAGGAAGGATGCCGAGGTCCCCAGCAAGGTCCCGGCAGCCTTTCTGTGAATGGCTGTTTACAGCACCAAATCTCCTCCTTCCTGTTGATCCACGCTGCCCGCACCCACCAAGACCGACCGGGACCCCAGGTGAGACCACATAGCCCAGCATAGACCCAACAGAGCCACCCAAGAGTCCGCACAGCCCACCACAGAACCTGCACAGCTCACCTGAAAATCTGCACAGTCCACCTGAGAGTCCACACAGCCCACCATAGAACCTGCAGAGCCACCTGAGAGTCTGCACAGCCCACGATAGACCCCACATAGCCCATTTGAGAATCTGCACAGCCCACCATAAACCACACATAGCCCATTTGAGAATCCGCACAGCCACTGGAGTCTGAACTATTACACTAATTGCCATTATTTTTCCTAGACTTCTATTTACAGAACTAGTTATTACTAAAACCAGTAAATTACAGAGACAATTATTTTATATGATATAAAGAGTAGATACATTTACATAGTCTTACAGATACAACCGGCCCTTTGAGGGCAACCATACTGCTGATGCGGCCCGCGTTGAAATGGAGTTTGACACCCCTGCTACATCCTGCATATCTGCTTGTTTACATGCTGGGATTAGTACAGTTCCCACTGTACTTCTGGGCCACTCAGATGTAGGTGCTGCAGGTTTCATAGAGCCCTCTGTCACCCAGTGTCTCTTCCTCCTCCTGTCCATTCACAAAACACACAATCCAAGGCTTCCTTTTATGAATGGCCAGGAGGAGAGTGAAGTAGAGACATGACCGCAGAACTGGTATTTATGAAACCTGCAGCGCTTACATCCGATCAGACTGGACGTAAAGAGGGAGCTGTACCAAATCGCTGATTTGCAGGACTTTGGAGAAAGCCTGCATGATGGGGGGGTTGCTTTTGAGTAAAATTAATCTTATTGTGTTCTCAGATAAGCCCAGTCATAACCGGTTCTTCTTAAGCAATCTGCAACGATATGATCTGCGCATTTTTACAGTATTTACAATTATCTAGAGATACGCAGCATGCTAATCAAAACAAGACAAAATACCATTTTAAAAGGGCATTAGTGGCTGGTAATGTAAAGTTTTAGCAGAGATGGATAGAAGGTAGCAATGTAGTGCTCTATCCTGTCTGGTTCAGAAACTGGGATGGCTCTGCTAGCTATAAAGCAGGTTTACAATGTAGACTGATGACTAGGGATGTTCTATAGAGAAACACTACAATGCACACAATCAGCTGGAAGGATAACAAAGAGGAGCCTAGATTTCAGCTGATGCTGTACTTGTAACGTCTTTACAAAGCCATCAGCTGCCATTGTCCTCTAGTGCTGATCGAAGCCGTAGAGTGATGGGTAGAATGTGGGGACATGTGGTATGGCAAACTCGTATAGCAAGAAAGCTAAATCCGGCAGGGCTCATTCAAGCACCATAGGAGTTGCTCTGCCTAGTCTCTACAGTGTAAGGACGTGCACCTTTCCTTCAGCAAAGATGGTTTTAGATTGACCACACAATAAAGCGGTTTAATCTTCCTTCAGGAAAGTTCAAACACTTGTAAGATTGTTTTAAAAGCATGATGCATATTCACTGCTCACTACATGTCAGAAAAGGTCTTATACAGTGTCTGCTTAGACACTGTATAGATGTAAAATTAGGGAAGGTGGATAAGGGTGTTAAAACTCAACTATCTATTGCAATAAAATGAACCTGACCCTAGTTGTAGGGTGCGAAAGTGCAATATAACCACAGTGCAATATAACCACAGAGATCTTGTGATTCCTGGAACTACTTGTACAGGTGAAACTCGAACAATTAGAATATCGTGCAAAAGTTCATTTATTTCACTAATGCAACTTAGCCGTCTACCAGGAGATTTTGGAGCACTTCATGCTTTCTTCCGCAGACGAGCTCTATGGGGATGCTGACTTCATTTTCCAGCTGGACTTGGCACCTGCCCACACTGCCAAAAAATTTCTGAGATCGTGGATCTGGGTTTTCATGAGCTGTAAGCCATAATCATCACAATTATGACAAATCACGGCTTGAACTATCTTGCTTCTTGCTTTGCATGTAATGAGTCTCTCATATATTAGTTTCACCTTTTAAGTTGCATAAGTGAAATAAATGAACTTTTGCACGATATTCTAATTTTTCGAGTTTCCCCTGTATTAGTCTTCAAGCTAAGCCATGAGCGCCTTGGAACCTTGGACACAGTCAGTACATAGGTTCTCCATAAGATAAGCCTTACTGTCCATCATGTAAATTTAAATGCTAAAGTCTTAATAGGCGCAGTACAGGCTCTGACATTTGACAGAACAGGACATAATTTTGACTTGGACAGAAGTAGAGGCCCAGTATACAGCCTAGACTGTGAATGTAGGACCTCCACATTGGACAGTTTGAAGACTTCGGGCCAGTTCACACTATTGAGCTGCGGTAAAGCAGGTTACGTGCACCTGTGTGCTGGGATGCCATTTATTGTGAACCAGAGCATAGAGTTCAGAGTTCAGAGTTGCTTATCAGGCAACTCCAAGCAAACGGCTACATACACAGTTCACAAATCTATTTTTACTATTTTACTTGCCAAAAGGGATTTTAATTCAGGGATTTTAGTTTTATTAAGGGATTTAACTTGAGCCAAGGTGATATACACCTTTACATCACTGTAAAGAAACATGAAGGCGACACCATTGTCTGCTTCACCAATACAGCTTACCACGTCACCTCCGACTCCAGCAGGGAACAGAATGCACTGAAATCTGCTGAAAAATCACGCATGTACTTTTCCCCGCGTTGCACACACATACAAATGCGCAGGTGTGAACAAGCCTCATAGGAATGCATTGCTTTTTATGTTTTGCGTGTTTAAAAACGCCTAAGGAGACTTAATGGTTAGGATAAATAAACAGTAAAAATACACTTAGCATAGAAGTGCCTTTAATTTGTCTGAATGCCAGCAGAGGGCGCTGCAGCACAACACATACCAAGTTGATCGGCAAGGTGCTTTCCTTTCTCTGTAGGTATCACAGTCGATAATACATAGACATATTATAGAATTTCCTATACAATGACTTCAGTGATACATGGCAACTGTCAATTTTCTAGCGAATCTCTTCAATCTGTTTTGAAGAGCACTGCTAATTATTAGAACCCTCCTTACAAAGACAGAGATAAAGCTTCAGGTTAAAGTATTACTATAGCCAAGACTTTTTTTTTTTTTATAGCCAAGACCATTGCGTAGACAGATAGTTAGTTTGCGCTGCATTCTCACAAAAATAAGTGGTGCATTAAGGAAAGGGAAAAGAAGAAGTTATCACCATTCTTAAGGTTATATCAGCGGTAGATTTAGAAACTGAAGTCTGGAAAGAGGGCAAGGGATTGTGAGAATTGTATTTCCAATACACTATATTTTTGGACACACTAATTTCTGTGTGCTGCAATACTTCATCTGTGCAAGGGAGGAAAAAACAGTTTTAACCTCCACATATGTCAGGGTTCTTTACCTACAGTCTTCACAAGAACTAGTTCTAGCTAATGTAGTAGATTCCTTTACAAAAACATGTATCCCTTTTTTGAAGCAAACAAATATAAATGGCTACTGATAATCGTCTGCAAAACAAAAAACACTTTAGAATGGTTCCACTGAATGGTTGGACTGACAGGTGACATGTGTCTTTCACTCTGAATAGCTATGTAACATATCCCCATGTGCTTTGCAGGATTGAACCCACTCTCACTTAACCCAGGAGCAGAGTCCATAGCTATGACTGCACTGTCATGATGCACCCAGCAGCAAGATCTCTTTGCAGTTGGCTGGGTTCCCACCTGGGCGTAGCATAGGCGCGTTTTTCCATTCAATGAAACGCACGTTTCACTGGCGGTATGATTTTTTTCCCCCCCCTTATTTTCTCTATTTAAAAAAAAAAAAATGTTATGAAAAATGCCCCAAAAGAAGCTCCTGTACTTGTTTGGGCGTTTTTCAGCGCGGGACCTCAGGCAGTCGCCGGCCAGCTAAATTAGGACCCCACCTGGAGCTCCTCACACCGGACCAGCGCTGACTCGCCGCTGCTCTCCCGCGCCAAAGGTAAGTGAAAAAAGAAAAAAAACATAGCGCAAACATCGGGGCATTTTGACAAGTACTAGTACTTGTCAAAATGCCCTGTTTTTACAGGGGGGAGGGGGAGGGGAGGGGAGGGGGGAGCGGCGCACAAAATCCACCTTGCCTGTGTAGGCAGGAAACCTAGCACCGGCCCTGATTGTGACTGTAGTCCATCACGGAAGAGAGCTTGGAGCGGTGACTACAACACACACAAGAACCATGGGGAACAAAAGTAGCCACCCTCCAGAAGGAATGACAGTGTAAGCACCAATTGAGAGATGATTTGAGGACCTAAAGCTGAAAAGGTACACAAATAAGATACATTTTTGTTAAGGGCTAGTTCAAACCAGCCCCAGTGTGTTCCAGCCCGATTGGTGCTGGAACACGCTGGATCACATTCCAACCGGCTCACTTTGTTTTGATGGGGGTTAGCACTTCGGCCTCAGTGAGATCTCCCGCACTGGAGCGCGTGGCACATGAGTGCCTGCGTTCCGATCTGGTGCAGTCAGAAAAAATTCTGCATGCACGTTTTTTTCTGACAGCACCAGAACGCAGGCACTTATGTGTCGCTACTCCGTGCCACTTTAAAATCTTCTATTACTCTTGGTCTATTTCAGCAAAACTGTTAACATGGCTTTATATGCAGGTTTTCTTTAGAAAAAGAACTTTAGCAAGGCAAGTTTCTAATCATACAATTTAAGAGGCGGGAGTCCACTGCTAGATGGAACTCAACTATGTGCTTGTGATTCCCGGAGGATTTATCTTGCAGCTCTGCAGTGAAATCTACTTACCAGTCCTGGACAGCCATATAGGACTCCTCATTTGTGATGTCATACATCAATATGAATCCCATTGCACCTCTGTAATATGCAGTTGTGATGGTCCTGTATCTCTCCTGACCAGCTGTATCCTAAAAAAAAAATAAAAGAAGAAAGAGGGGTTACATAACAAATATCACAATACCCAAGGTCAATTTTTTTATGCAATGCTGTAATGTTGGAGAGCCAGTGAGTATGCCCATACCGATAGAAGTGCTACCAAAGACCTGATTTTGGTGCATTTACTGCTGATACCAAGAGGAAGTGTCAACTGTTATCACAGAATTATGATTCTTTATTATCCTTTGTTAGGACAGTGTTCAAATCTAGTTTACAACTGATAATAGAGATTTGCCAGCACGGCACAGACAGGCTTAACAATGGCAAACATTGCTCCCCAGCCCCCTCCTTAACATTACATTCAAGGGGGAAGGTAAAAAGATTTTGTAACAAACACAAAAAAGGTTTTATCCCCATTTGGCTGCAAAAGTACAAATACACTAGTATAAGCAGAACTCCAGGGTTAAGTGCTCGTTTTTGCCTAGAGTAAAAAAAAATTTAAAAAAATAACGTTATACTCACCTGATCTTCTGAGCCACAGCAGTCTAAGGGTTAGTTCTCCACAGAAATGTGTGCGTCTGCACAGTTGCAATGCGATGCGTTTTACCGTGATTGTACCACGATTGATACGGTTTTTGTGGGTTTTTTTTTTTGCTTAAAATGGCATTTCAGGTGCGTTTGCAAGCATTCAGGTGCAATCCGATGCAGCTAAAATATGGCAAGCAGTATTTTTTCATGACTGCATCAGAACGGACTGCACTGGTGTGAATAAAGCACCAGAAATCCCTAAGGAAAGCACTGTGATGTATTTTGGCTGCAGCAGCCAAACTGAATGGACTCCATCACAACTGCATCTGGTGTGAACTAGCCCTAAGGTCCCCGAGTCAGCACGTTCTATACACAGTGTATGGGTCGTGAGAATGCCGAGGGACATACTGGTCGCTAGTGTTGAGGAGGAGACAGGCAGGAGGGAGCTCTGTCACAGCAGGCTGGTTCAGTGGATCGGGTAAGCATCATATTTTTGACCCTAGGCAAAAACAAGCACTTAATCCTTGCAGTGTGGGGATAGCCTCGCTGGAAGGGTTAATTACATTTTCACCCAGATTTGTTCTTTAAAAAGGACCACTGTCATGAAACATTCTTGTTGCCCCTGGTGGTGGTATAGTTTGTCCAAATACCTACAACTGTCAGGTCTGATGATTAGCTTAGTCTGCATTTAAATATAGAGCAATCTAGAAATAAAGATATGTAAAAAAAAGAGAAGGTTTATATACTTAATAGCATTACATGTGTTGACCACATACACATATCAAAATACAGTATTTTTCCTAATAGCAGTCCTTCACAAATGGCATTTCAGAAGAGGTTCACAATAATTGCTCCTTTAATGAGGCATTCCAAGGAGTCTACAGTTAATCTAATCTTTCATCCGCATATCAAAAAAGGTGCGAGCCAGAGAAGCAAAATGTATTTAAATAAAGATGTCATTATTGGCGTCTACATTTCTCAGCTTAGCAGGTTAAAAGCTACAATTTCACCACAGAAGATCTGTCCTTTCAAACGCTCAAAAGGTCCATCAGTATTGCTGTGCAGGTCAAGTCGATCTTTGATGACAAGTCATTTTGCTAATGACCTGATCCATTTGCCTGCAGCGGAGTAGAGCAATTCAAACCTATCCGGTGATTATGCACAGCAATTAGCGGCATCAGTAAAATGAGCACTTTCCATCAAAAGGTTACAGACTCTTTTCAAAGTCCTCTACAGCATCAAATTGTGCCTATGGGATAGAAGGTGGACTGGGACGGAGTGTTGCAATTTATGGTTAAAAAGGACCTATTCTAGAAAAAAGGTAACTTTTTATGTTATAACATTCTTGTTTTCATCACAGCTGATCTCCTGCGGGCATTTTGCAACCATTTGCTGGCTACATGCACTCCAGCAATAGCAGCATGGCATTTCTAAGGGTGGGTTTCTGGATAGTGACAACAGTGGGCCATGTCTTGATGGACCTGTGTCTTTATTCAACCTCAAATACTATGCAACTAGGTCTGCGCAATGCAAGATGAAAGAACTTAGGCCTCGTTCACACCATTCTCTCTACGTTCCGGCCCGATTGTGGCTGGAATGCACTGGATCGCATTGAGGTGGGCTCAGTCTGTTGTGGGGCAGGAGGGGGCGTGGCGGTGCATTGAAGTGAATGGCACCGCAGCCATGCCCTCCGGCCGCAATGCGATCGGCTGCACAGGAACATCAATGCCGGTCCTGTCAGAAAAAAAATTGTGTTTGCAGCATTTTTTCAGAACGCAGGCATTAATGTGAATTGTGTTCCTGTGCAGCTGATCGCATTGTGGCCGAAGGGCGTGGCTGCGGAGCCATTCACTTAATGCACTCACCCCACAACAAACTGAGCCGGCTGCAATGCGATCCAGCCACAATCGGGCCGGAACACACTGAGGATGGTGTGAACGAGGCCTTAGTCTACATCGCACGACTGTGTGACAACACAGGAGCACAACTCTTAAACAGGGGCAGAGAGAGCACTGCCAACCTCTAACAGGATGTGTGTGAACAAGGACTTTTATGACATCATTAAGTATTACTTTAATGGAAGAGAAAGATAAAGATATTTCCAAAATTACTTTTGTATTTATAGTGACATGTTAAAGCTTATACAAAATGTATTTGAGTTTACATATAATATAAGGACTTCTGGGCCATATGCTTGTGATTTCACCAACTCACAGTAAAGTAATACACGGTCTTCAAGGAACACTAATCTAGATTTAGAATGTACCGAACCTGATCATTATCTTATGTCCCAATAGACAAGAAAACTGCAAAGCAGAAATATCGGTTGCCTTTTTAAGTAGGGCCATATGTACTATAAAAGGCACTTGTTGGGTCTAGGGCAGAATATGCCACAAAATCCTCTTTACCAGTGATGAGTGAATATGTAGAGCTGGCCATACACTTTACAACCATCGCAATACTTGCAATGGTTGTAAGCTAATTAAAAGCTCGTACGATCTGCCCATCTTGGACAGGCAGATCGTACTTGCGATCATCGCAAGCCCGCCCCGCTGAGGGGAGAGCTTCCGATGACTGCAATGCTGAGCGGGCAGTGTGCGCTTGCGCACACCGGCCCGTGCGGCATTTGTCTTACGAGCATGCCACAAACCCGCCGAAAATCTTACAATTTTCGGCTGGTATTCAAACATGCGACCGTACGTCGCAGTAGAAACGGTCGCACACGCCTTCCATACACCTGATGATTATCGTACGATAATCGGCAGGTGTATGGCCACCTTAAAGTGACATTAAACCCTCAGATTTTTTAACAAACCAATACTGTAATGTATACCTTACTGTGATCCATGGTAGTTTCCCCTTCTCTTTGCTGCTCTTCCTTTTAAATCCTCATGTCTTCTCATGCTTGGGGAGAACTTCCCTTTGCAGCTGACTGCCTCTTCCTGCAGTGCTGGCTCAGGTTGCAAACCTATATACAGACACCATGTAGCCATTCCAGAGACAAGGCAGTCTGCTGCAAAACAGAAGTTCTGCCCAGCAGGAGAACAGATACAGATTTAAAAGGAAGAGCAGCAAAGAGAAGGGAAACAACCATGGATTACAGTAAGGCACACATTACACTATTGTTTTATGTTAAAAAAATCTGAGGGTTTAATGTCACTTTCAGGATTCAACAAATTCACACCTGAAAATCAGATTTTGGATTATTTATTATTGCCCAATGGCAACTAAAGCAGTGTGGTGGTTAGTTCACACCATAAGCAGTGCGTTCTGTTCCAATTCTGTACGGAACGCACTGCGGCCGGCTCACTTTTTTGCCGGGCTGGAGGGGGCGTGGTGGGCCATTGAAGTGAATGGCACCGTAGCCACACCCTGCGGCCGCAATGCGATTGTGCCTGCAGTGCGGTGCGATCAAAATGCTGAGCCGGCTGAGGGCATGCTGGGACTTGTTGTAGGACTCTTTCTATCGTGAAAGGGAAATATCAGGGGTCTGTTTTTTTAATAAAAATTTAAAATTTAATCATTTAAAAAGGTTGTAGCAAAATGGATTTTTCGGTTTCAACCGTACACATTTTAAAATTTCTGTTTCAGGCTAAAAATTTAATTTCAGTACATCCCTACCAAACATATATTATGGGTGCGATGCACCATTATACTCATCGTCAACAGTTTTTCTTTAGGTTCCCCACTTCTGGACATGTGTGGGTAAATCCAGATAAAAAGGACACAGTCAGTGACGAAGGACGTCAGGACTGTGGGCAAGAGCCACATGACTCTATATATAGCTCAGATAACAATATACTTTCTTCTCTTGTTTAGTCGATCCGTATAGGTTCTGCATATACAACGAAGACAACAAGCTGCTTCCAATAGTACAATTCTTTTAGTGCAAACATTCTTCATTGGCAAAAATAAGCTTGTACAAATGGATGGCGTCATGGTGTATATGTGCTTTAAGCAGCATGATGGCAAAATATGGTCTTCCTTTCAGGTAACAGAAATGACAGCAGAAGCAAGAACAAAAGACCAATGATGATTTCCATCACACCAGTGCCAGTGGTATGCATGACTGGTCTATTGAAGATAACTGCAAAAAAAAAAAAAAAGGACTCTTCTGTGACTCGTCTCTGTAAAGCACCTCTCAGGCACTGGTCAGAATAACTTGCAAACATCAGGTCCTTATCTCGCAGACACATGCACACCGCAGATCCGGCTCACTTTGCCATGCTGCGTGTACTGATGAGCTACACAGACTCAATAAAGATCATCGCACATCCCTTTTCAAAATGGGATATCAATCTGTAGGTGAAAGAGTTATTAAAATTGCCAAAATAATCCGAATACAAAAAAAAAGTAAAAATGTTCTTCTCACTATGTGGTGCACAACATATAGATCATATTCTTTGACATGGATTTTTACGTTGGAGTATTTTAAAGAAATTACAGGTCAGTGATACATGTAGCTCGGCATAAAGGCCAAGATCTCAGTTCATCATTTGGAGAA